AGGCCTGGGCCAGCCATTGGTTCCTATCACACCCCAGTTATGAGATATGTTTACCTTATAGTGTGAAAGTGTTAAATACATTTGTTTGTTCCCCAGATTCTGCACCATACTGTAGAGATCTCAAAGCCCATACACTCCATTTCTAACCCAGTTCCTGGATGCTTTCACCAGAAAATTCTGTTTTTGTTCTTTCTTCTCTGCCTTAATAGTGGTCCTTTTTATTCCTGACTTCATTGTTTCATTAGACCAGTTTCTCCCCGCCCCTTCACATTTGGGGTGGAATCTCTCTAGGTAGGTGTTTCCTGAAAAACAGGTCTTCCCAGATTTAGTGCAGTAATCTCTGCCAGGAGCACTGGTATCAAAAGCTACAATCTAGAAAAATAAAGCCTGCTAGTTAACACTAGGGATAGCCAATACTTCAATTTTCATTCCTTATTATTCTTCACAAGTGGCAGCCTTTAAAATAGAGTGTGACATGTTTATGGCCTCTGCCCATCTCTACTCTTAGCCTTCTGTGTTTCGTCTGTAAAGCCAATAAAAATATTCTGCAGAGTTCCGTAGTCTCTAGTGCTCACTCCTTCATATGTAAACCTATAGGGTGAGTATTGATCAACCATTGATATGTCCTGGTAGGTGGGGACCACATCCTGCTTGTCTCACCCTGCTGCCTGCATCAGACCACAAGTTTCCCCAGAAGGGAGTTGGTCACCAATCTCAGTGACTCACCTCTTTGTCACTGGGCAGGACCAGCCTTGCTCTTCCCAGTCAATACCAGCCTCGGCTGGCCTCCCTCCCGGACAGTTGACAAGTGTGGGATGCTGCTGGCAGGTGTAGGAAGCTGTCCTCCTGGACCCCAGGGAGAGAGGCCTGTCCTCCACCAGCTCCTCCCCATCACCAGTTTCCTCTCAGGATTCTTTCTTTTTGCTTCCTGCCTACCACAGCATTTTTAAAGTCCCTCTTCATGGAGGGAAGGGAAGTAGAGGGAGGACCAAAGGCTGCCTTCCCAAAAGTGTGGATTAAAAAATATGGATGTGTAAAGCTTGCATTTGGGGACTGCATCATTACTCTTAGTTATTATATTAGTTAGGACATCGTAGGAGGAGAAAGCCAAAAGCTTCCTGGAGCTCTCCTAGAAATTGAAGTCTCTCCCTAGAAGTCCCAGCACACTTCTTCCAATCTGAATCTCTGGTTCAGATTGGGTCACATACCCATTCATTACCCAGTCCCCAACAAAGGAAACTGTCATCCCATCTGATCAATCAGCACTAGCCCTGGAAGTGAAGAAGGGTTGGTTTCCCTTAAAGCAGTACACTGTGGGTGAGAGATGAAGGTGAGATGGATGCCTACTTAAAAGCATGTCTGTTGGAAATGGGTAATGGGGGAAAGGACGCACTAGTTAGACAACCCTAATGCCTGTATCTGGGGAGAGCAAAATTGTACTTGCATTTTCTGGCACTTACTTTGGTAAATCTCTCAGGAACAGAGAAGAAAAAAACGATGGAGGGGAATCTAGATGCAGAAGCCAAGTACTCCACAATGTGATACCTTCCAAGGACCACCCCCAAAACACAAGATGGTGTGTAAATTCTACCTGAGCAATTGGTGTATGCTGTGCATGGCTGACTCCTTGATACTCTAGGCCCTGCTCATTGTACCTCATCCCTGCCCCAGCCCCTATAGAGCCTATTTTGCTCACGGATCTCTGGCCATCCCCAAGGACAGTCCCTGCAGGACTGGTACTATTTTAATCAGGTTTTTTTAACTGCTGTGACCCAAACATCTGACAAGAACAATTTTAGAAAAGGAAAGTTTATTTGGAGCTCATGGTTTCAGAGGTCTTAGTCTATAGACACCCAACTCCATTGCTCTGGGCCTGAGGCAGAACATAATGGCAGAAGAGTATGGGAGGAGGAGGAAAGCAGCTCAGGACAAGGCAATCAGGAAGCAGAGAGAGTTCTGCTCACCAAGGACAAAATAAAAACTCCAAAGGCACATCCCCAGTGACCTATCTCCTCCAGTCACACCCAACCTGCCTACAGTTACCACCCAGTTAATCCATATCAGTGGATTAATCCACCCATTAGGTTATACTTCATAATCTAATTAATTCACCTCTAAAAATTCTTGCATTGTCTCATAAATGAGTTTTTGGAAGACACTTCATATCTAAATCATAATTGGTACCTTCTTAGTCCCCAAATAAGAATACCTGTTAGGCCAATGCGGCTAGTGTAGGAAGTCCTTTTTAACTCCAATAACACAAGCATGCAATTGGATTGATTGGACATTCACTAAACATTCAGAATAAGACATGAGACAAAATTACGTGGATTTGGGAGAGACTTTAAATGAATGTGTAGAAAACCAAAATGTTATGACTCAGTAAAACTGAGCAGTAAAATAGACTAATGAAAGCAAAATCTGGTATATTGTGTTCTTTCCTGTCTGGGGGCCCATAAGGAAAGAATTTTTTATAAGAAGTTTCAAAAAGCCAGATAAAATTGTACAAGTGCAACAAATGCAACAGAGATTCTTTCAAAATAAGATGTGGAAAGTGTGGCTTCCCTAGGGGAAGGATGGAACCTTTCTAATAATATTTGAGTTTAAGTTCACAGGTGCAAAAATTGAAAAAGATCAGGGAAAGGTGGTTAAAATTGCCATGCTGTGGAAAACAGATATGAGGTAACATTTGTCCGAGAGACTTTGCACCCTATGCCCTCCAGGAAATGGGCCACACATCATTGGAATAGACTTTTATACTGTTTAAAATTCAATAACTTTTAGAAATTGTATCTATAATGTGGTGATATATACTTATCTGTATTTGGAAAGATGTATTAATTATTTATTTAGCTAACACTTCCTAAGCACCTACTTTGTACCAGGGACTACTTTGATATGTGTGTAGGTCTCACATATAAATATGAAATTATGAATATTTAAGAACCATCTGAGGCAAGAATGTTTTTTTCCACCTTCATGTACTCTTTAAATATGTTCATGCCAATGCACTGGGATTAGTTTTGTCTACTTGTTGCTTTATTGTTGGCTAAAAAAATAGGATATCAAATTGTTTCTAAATTAATTTCAAGGTTCCAGCAAAATTATAGCTTCTACAAACATCAAAGCAATAGCTCAGAGTGATTATAAAATAATTTGCAAATAAATGAAACTAGGAAAAGACTATTGGCCATTTTTAATCAAGTATTCTTGGTCTTATTAAAGAGAATAAGTAATATAAATTCTGATATCTGTCATTTTTACTTAGTAAAAAACTATTATGATAATCTTTAGTTTTATTGATCAGTTTGATAAACTGGTGTTTTATTACCATATTACTTGTACTAAGAATTTCTTTGCAAACCATAGTACGTCTATTTCCATGTGATACCTAATCTGCACTTAGAAGTAGAACTTTGGGGCTGGAGTTGTGGCTCAGTGGTACAGCGCTTGTATAGCATGTGCGAGGAACTGGATTAGATTCTCAACACCACATATAAATAAGTAAATAAAATAAAGATCCATGAACAACTAATAAAAATGTTTTAAAAAAAGAAATAGAACTTTGCCAAATTTTTTGTTGATAAACTTTCATAAATTGAACTTTTCATGCTCAAGTTTAATCAATTTTTATTTACAGCTGTAATTGTGTCGAGCAAGTAAGTAATTAAAGTTAAGATTTTGAAAAGCCAGCTATAAATTGAGCAACATTAGTTTTAAATGGTCCTATCCCGCTGTGGAATTCAGCCATATGAATAGCACTGATAGAAATTACCAGTGGTAAGCATAATTTTTTAAATCTAATTTTATATTTGTCAATATAAATATTTAAATACATTGCACCTATAAAAAAATGCCATGCTTGGGATTACTGGGGCAATCGTAAGTCTCTTGCTACATTAAGCCAGGAAAACAACACATAGTATTTAATCAATGGAATCTAGGTAGATGCAACCAGAGTAAAATTATGCTTGCCAGGTACTTGTTGTCAACAAACAAATTTCTCTTATCTATCTTCATCTTTAAATTTGTTCTAGGATTGTTCCTTCAGTGTCTGGGAGCACAGTCTGGCAAGAATCAGAGCACTTAACAGAAGAGCCCCAACCTTGGTACCTTTGGAGGAGAGAAAATTGCAATCTGATATAGGCCAAGTTTGGATTACTCAAGGATTCTATTTTATCCTCATTTTGACATGTAGTTAGTAAGTGATCTGGGGGGATCAAAGAAGATATATTCTATATAAAAGTTCTGTGCACTTCCCTCCCTACAGTGCCTTGACTATGTATGGTCAAAAATTTAGTCCATGTCTCAGGCAACATGAGTTGGGGGGGTCCATCTTTCTTCCCTGTCTATTCCCAATGATCCTAGATCCAATTTGGACTATGTATTGTAGATAATTTTCACTTTCATCTTTTCTTTCTAGTTTATACCCCTCCTTTCCTTTATACCATGTCTCGAATCATCCTCTCCTGTCTCGCTCCTCTAGTTATTTCTGATTCTGTTGAAAAGTAATCCTCTCTCAGGATTTTGTTGGTGGCAGGGTATTATAGAAAAAGTACATACTCTGGTTTTTTATCATCAAAAACACCTGGATTTGGATTTCAATTCATCCCACTTAATCTTCTTAATTTCCTCATTAGCAAAATGAGAATAATAATAATAATATATAGGAATAGTAACTGTAACAGTGTGGATATGAGGTATCCCCCAAAGCTCCTGTGTTAATACAGAAGGTGAAAGATTAGATACGAAAGCTGTAACCTAATCAGTCGACTAATCCATTTGACAGTGTAATCATTTGAATTGTTTATTTGGTGGTAAATGTAGGCAGGTGGGGCATGGCTAGAGAAAGTGGGTCACTGGGGTCATGCCTTGGGGACTATATATTTTGTTCCTGGCTCCTTATTCATTCTCTCTCTCTCTCTCTCTCTCTCTCCCCCCCCCCGAACTCTTCCCCCTCTGTCATGAGCTAAGCAGCTTTTCTCTGCCAAACCCTTCTGCCATGATGTTCTGCACAATGGAGTTCACCAACCATGGACTAAAAGTTGTTTTTCTACTTGCAAATTTAAAGCATTTCTAACTGATCAGAGCAAAGCAATGTGAGTTGGCTTATTTTTTAATAAAGTCTTGGGATGCAAAAGACAGATGACCTAATAAACCAGCAAAGCACAGATATTAATATAAATGTAACCTCTTCCATACCAACAGGCAGTGAGAAGGGGAGATGGTCAAGTTATAGCCACAATTTGAGAAGGAGCAACATTTTTATATAACACATTCTTCCCTTTGAGGAAGATAATGTATTTCTCTGTTATCTGAAATCTCTTCTACTCCTAAGTTGACTATTTTTGTTATTGTTGTTGTTGTTATAGACCCTATGTATGTCTTGTTAGGTTTATTTCTAGGTTCTATGTTTGGGACTAATGTCTCTCTCCAGATCTCAGGGTTCCCTAAGGATCTGCCTCCTACATTTTTTTCACCCCATAATTTTCCTAAATGACACCATTCTTCCTGCCCTTCCCCCAACTCCTACTTCAAACTGCCTCTTCTCCATTTGGGGCAAATGCATTTAACCTCTTAGGTACATAGATTTTTGCTTGGACTGCTTTTTGGAGGTCATCCAACCCTGATTGACAGGAAGAGGTAACATTTGGAATCCAGCAAGCTTGAGGTTAAAACATGTCATGTCAGCAATTGCTAAACAACAGTACATCAGATTAGGTCAAGAATTTGTGAAATGTTTGTGCCAAGTGAAATGTCAAAGCACAAAGTGTGTGAGAGAAAAAAAATCTCTGTGCCAGTCAAAATGTCATTCTGTCCTGCAGCAAGTAATTTATTCCTTTCTGTCTTTATCGCTGTTCTTTTTTCACACGTATTAATGTTGCCTCTAAATAATTGAAATTAATAGTGGCATTATCAGCAGCGTAAGGTAAAAACTAAAGAGCTAATTTAGAATCACTCACTCAATTTGGGCTCATTTTGAAAATGGAAATTGTTAACCCAACCTTTAAAAAAAAAAAAAAAAAAAAAAGCTGTTACCTGATTGTCCAAAGCATTTACACTGCAATCCCTACTCTGTCTTACTCTGTTAATTTTTGTAACATTTTTAAAGAAGGTACAGAAAAAGATTAAGTAGAGAATGGACACTTTTTAGAATGCTGTATCCAAGGAGTTGCAAACATGGCAGACATGTTATAAATCCTAGATCCAGGTAGGATCAACAAATGAAGTGCCAGTGGCTTGTTGAGTTGATTCTGAAACAAAACTCCATAATGTTCATTCCCATTTTCCCACCAGTTTTAATTTTTAAATTGGCAGAGCTTTGGAGAAAAAGGATCCTCATCCATGTCTTTCGCTTTCTCTGAAAGCAGCTTACTATTACACAGTCTAAACAGTAGGGAACTCTCCTGCTCTTGATACTACAACTGCCTGGTTAATGAAGAAAAATGCTTCTTTTTTGTTTGTTTGTTTTGTTTTGTTTTGTTTTGTTAATTTTGAAAAATGCTTCTTTGTAGAAGATCTCAAGCAAGATCTTCTCATACTTAGAGGGATGGAACAGGCTTCAAACCAGTCAGTCACCCTGTTTCCAGTCCTGATTCTCTACTGTGCATTCTCCAGCCAGATCCTTCTGAAATGCAAGACAGACTAGGATGTGCCTCTGCTCCAAATCCTCCATTGACTTCCTACCTGTTAGAAAAAAAAGAACGAAATCCATTCTGGCTACAAAGCCTCTCAGACCTTACCCAGTCTCCCTCTGACCTCATTTCCCACCATTCCCACCTTAATCACTCCTCCAGAGATTTTTGGCCTATTCCTGAGACACTCCTAGCATGCTTTTGTCTCAAGCATTTTAATCATTTATTCCTAGGGCCAGGACTGGGTGAGGCTGGCTGGGCACCCAGGGCAGAACATTTAAGGAAGCATTAGTTTTTCAGGTGCTGACCTTGCACCTGCAGGGCCCTGCAAGTGAGTACTTCCTTAAACTTTGAGCTCTTGACACCTCACTTACCCCACCCTAGACCTAGCCTAGGCAGGCATTATTGCTATTCATGGAACTGAAGAAAACGGGAAGTTAAGAACTCTGTGAATCTGACAATCAGAACTGGATTCCCTCAAAAGATAGTAAATTTGAGACTAGCCTAGGCAACCTAGTGAGATCCTGTATCAAAATTAAAAATAAAATAAGGCTGGGGATGTAGTTCAGTGGTAAAATGCCCTGGGTTCAATCCCCAGCACCCCAAAAATACAAATTTGAAAACTGGTTTCTTGGCCAATTATATTAATTCCTCATATTGGAGATTTTACAATAGAAATCTGAAGAGTAACAGAAGTCTATATTGCTGAAGTGAGAGAAACTTCTCAAAAATAAGTCCTAATAATAGCTTGGAGGGGTCCAACAGTATAAAATGAACTTGTGGAATCATCATGTTGCATTTTGGCTTCAATTTTTCATGTGGAGCTTTATCAGCACAGAGATAGTCAGACTGAGGGAAATTAGATAAGTGAATTGCAAATCATCCAGAATCCCAATTTACTAAATTATAATCATAGACCTTTTTAGGTAGGAATGTCCTCATGTTCAATCTTGAAGACACCCCTCCCAGAGTCAAGGTACACGGAACAAAGTATTTGTCATCCAACAGCTACAAGCAAACAAAGAAAGAGAGCAAAGGGGACAGGTGGGAATTTCCATTAGATCAGGGAAATGTCCTGCCTTGCCCCAGGATATTCCTTGCTTGTGTATCCATTCGTGCAACAAATATAAATTGTGTACCTACCATGTGCTCAGCAAATCTGTGAGGTCAAACTTTAAAAGAATTCTGACTCCAGTACTTTTTGTCACCTACACAGTAACTAACTCAAGCAAGATCTTCTCACAGTTAGAGGGATGGAACAGGCTTCAAACCAGTCACCCTGTTTCCAGTCCTGACTCCCCATTGTGCATTCTGCAGCCAGATCCTTCTGAAATACAAGTCAGACTAGGATGTGCCTCTGCTCCAAATCCTCCATTGACTTCCTACCTGTTAGGGGGGGAAAAAAAAATCCATCTCTGGCTGCAACATCTCTCTGGCCTCACCCAGTCTCTCTCTGACCGCGTTCCACCATACCCACCATACTTAACTCCTCCAGAGGTTTTTGGCCTATTGCTGGGACACTCCAAGCATGCTTTTGTCTCATGCATTTTAATCATTTATTCCCATATATCTGCACAGCTCCCTGTGCTTAATGTTTAAATGCCTATGCTTAACTGTCATCTATCTCAGAATCTTCCATAACCACCCAAGACAGCATTCTTCCATCACTTCCTGTCATTTCTGATGTACTTTTCTCTAACCATCTGGCAAGTTTTCTTTTTTCCCATAGCGGAATTTAAGCTCCATGAAATTTTACCTGGTTTTATTCGTTGCTATATCCCCATCACCTACAACACCATCTTGTGTTGTAAATAAAATATTTTGTTGTATATAAAAAATAGTATGCATATTTGTTGAATATAGTGTGAATACATATAGGTTATATAGTAATTGTCACTAAAAGGGAATATTCTTTGGTGTCTCAGGACTTTTACTTTCAGCTTTTCAGGATTCTCACTCTCCCTTTGCTTTCTGATTGACCAGATGAGGTGTGTAAGAGAAACAGAGGGTTCAAGGAAAAGACAAGATTTTTACCATAAGCAAATGAAGAATAGAATTCCTTTTATTGAACTATAAACATCCATAGAAGGGAAGATTCGGGTGTTAGGGACTGAAAATCAACATTTCATTTTTGGACACACTTGAGATACCTAGTGTCCATCCAGGTGGAGATGTTGAATGGGCAGCTGGAAATAAGGACCTGTAGTTCAGAGGAAAGGTGCTGACAGGGCATATAAGATAGGTAGCGTATAGAAGGTGTTTAATGTCATGGGACTGCACGTAATTCCTGGGGGTGAGTGTAGCAGAACAAAGTTCTGAAGATTAAACCCTGAGAATTTCATAAGATAAGAAAACACCAAAAAAAGATACCTTAAAGGGGAGCTGAGAAAAGAGGGAGTAGTTGAAGGAAGCTAGGAGTCTAAGAAGAATATTTTAAATATGAGAAATACTGTATTTGGTGCCATGGAAATTATCCAGTAAAAAAGGAAAAATCAATGGTGCAGGAGGACAAATGCAGGAATAAAGTTCTAGAATATGAAAGGGGGCCACTGGATGCAGGATAGAGGTAGTGAGGCTGACATTAGATAGAAGCACAATTTGCCCATCTCAACAGGAGGAAAGACAGAGACTATGAACACTAAGGCCAGGAGAGAGGTGTATGTGTTGGTAAGAGTCTTTTTTTGGTTGCTTTTATTTTGCTCAATGAGATGCTACATGGGAAGTCTTGGTGGGATAGGACAATTATAAGAAATTAGGTGTTCAGAGGAACATTTCAGGTAGAAATGAGAAAGTGAGATGTTTGAAGAGTGATGTAGGGAGTTTGGGTGGGGGGCAATACAATTATTGAAACATCAGGGTTGAGGTCATGGCCATAGGAGTGGTGATTGAGGTGATCATGGAGACAAAACTACACTAGTGACTGACCAGGGATGGGATTAGATGGCCTTTTCTGATGCAACCTGAACTGACACAGGTATAATATGAGCTACTGTTCCCTGACATGCTTCCTGCATGTGAGACAGTCTGTGTAATTCTCTCCTTTACTCCTTACAACTTTACAGTAATCCCCTAGAAATTGGGGTTGTTTTATCCTCCAATTATTTTATCTGCATCATAGATAACAAAACGTACAGCTCACAAAGTTTCAGTAACTAACACAGAATGACAGCAATATAGATGCGGGATTCAAACTCACATCTTCTGGGCTCTTTACTTGGGCCTGCAGTTCTCTCTTCAAATGCATCACCTGTAGGCTTTAATCCCTGTCCACCAATTACAGTTGAGTTCGGCTAGGAAGTCATAAGCCTCATTTCTCCATGTTTGAACCCAAGGCAGAAGTTTGATCCTGAAACTGGATGTTTCAGTCTGCCACGAGTATAAGCCTCATTTTCCTCTTCTAGCTAGTGTCCCCTTTGGGCATACTGTGGCAAGTCTAATAGCCTTAGTCTGTTTGCTTCAGGGGGTGACCTTACTGGCCTGCCCCAGCAGGTATCTTTGTCTTGCTATAGCAGGAAACCCTTGGGAAATCTTGCAGTCTCGGCCAGGGTACTTCTTGGCCATTACCATGCAGTAAATCTTCCTCCATCTGGAAAAAAAAAAGAAAGACCTTATACCCTGTCACTGGTATTCCCAGAATGCTCTGCCTAGGGCTTTCTAACCTCAGGAGATAAATTACATAAGTGATAAGAGAAGAAAGGAGACATGAAAGTTTTTTAAAAATCATATTTCTTGCTATAGTCAGGAGAATTTGCATGATTTCTGCTTTGTAATGGTTCTACTAGTGAGTAGAGGAATCCGACCTCTCCGGGCCCCAAATGAGAAAAACGAACAGTTGCAACTGGATGTCATCACTGATCATCATCAAGAACAGAGCTTTCCAATCGAACTTTCTTTCTACAATATAGGATATATATATATATTTACCTACATACATCCTGTATACTCTATACCTATGCCTTCTAACTCAGTAGCCATTAGTCACACATAAATATTGAACACCTAAATTGTACCTAACACAATTGAGAAATTGGATTTTCAGTTTTATTTAATTTCAAGTCACATGCAGCCAGTGGCTTCTACATTGGACTGCACAGATAGATTATAAAATGGGAGGCTGAGCCCCCTTGCCCCTGGGAGCACAGTGACCAAGTGTGTCCACAGAACCTTGCCATGAAGATGCTTGCCTGTCAGCCCCTACCAAGAAAGGAGGTCTCCACTGCTCATTCTTTTTCAAACAAAAGGCAGAAACCTGGCACAATCATATTTTATTATTACAGCCAATGATCATATACTCTAGAAAGCTAAGCCAACATGTATTTCTTATCTCGCAGTTTCTGTAAGTCAGAAGTCTGAGCATAGTGTGGTTCAACTGGGTTCTCTGCTTGGAGTCTCAGGAGGCCCAATTCAAGGTGTTGGCGGGGCTGTGCTCCTTTCTGGAGTCTCTGGGAAAGAATCCACTTCCAAGTTCACCCAGGTTGTTGGCAGAATCAGTTCCTTGCTATTATAGGCCTCTCTTTGGTCCTTACATGTGGCCCCTTTATCTCAGATCCAACCACAGTGCCTCATATCCTTCTTGTACTTGGAATTTCTCTCATGTCCTCAGCTGGGAGAAAGTTCTGCTTTAAGGGCTTCTGTAATTACATTGGACCCACTCAGAGAATCCATTTTAAGGTTAATTGATTAATAACCTTAATTACATTTGCAAATTCTTTCTTGCCAATTAACATAATGTAAACCACAGGAATATCACCAGGGGGCAAAAGTCCTGAGACCAAAATTCTACCTACCATAGCAAAAAAGGGAGAAACTAGTTAGGATACAGTTGGTAATTACCTCATGTTTTCTTGAGTACAAAGTAAAGTGCACTGTTGAAATGAGTGATGTAAAAAACTCTGTTGGCTCTTCTTTGTCCCAAGTCATGGGTCTTACTTCATCATTGCAAGAAACTGGCAAAGTGGTGGCCATCCTTGAATGTCCATTAAAAATGCCCAAATGTCTCAGGTTATACTCCTTGGAAGGTCTCAATCTTCTCCACAGCTTCCAGAAAAGAGCTGTTAAACCACCTTGGAGACCCTTTCCCAACACAAGAGAACCAGTAACTCTTTCTGGTTTAGCCAATGCTGAGTTAGATATTAAGTCCTGATAAGGGCAACCTGGCCTGAAGGCTGTTAATTAATGAACAAACCTTGCGTGTAAACTAAACTACTCAGCTTCAGCTAGCAAATTCCAAAAAGGAAAATGAAGTGTATGGAAAAATACTTCCTTCTAATTAGGTGGAAAAAAAAAAAAACTCTGAATTTTCAGGTACTAAACAAAGAGAGATTTTGTGTCTGTCCTCCACCGAGTGGGAAGGGAGGAAGATATCTTCGAGCCAGGAGTTCAAAGAAAGAGCCGAGGAAAGACTTGCTGTTACTTGAAAGAGCATGAATAAAGAACAAGCCGATGCATTTCCCACAATTTCCAAGCATAAGCATACAAGTGATCTGGAAAGTTTTCATGACTGGAGTCAACTCAGGGGCCCACAGTGGGAAACATATGAGACCCAACCACTGGGTTCAGAAAGTCAATATTCTATTCCAGGACTGCCCCCAAACTATCTACATAATTCCATCTACTTCCTCTGCTCACTATATTAGGAATCACTTAAAATGTACCTGCAGATTAAGCCCCATGGAACACCCCAGAAACCAGCTGTTTTTCACAGGAGGCAATGAAAACAGGTAAGGAAAATCTTCTACCCAATTGACTGTAGAATTTGTTTTAGGAAAGAAACTACCCCTATTTAGGAAAATGTCTTGGAAAGTTAGGTGGAAGAGGAGGGCAAGCGCTGGGACTGGGGTCGGCAGAGAAGAGTTAACAAAGAAGCAGCTAAATTTCATTGCTTAAAAAAAGGCGGGGGGGGGGGAAGTTGGGGGTGTGGCTCAGTGGTAGAGTACTTGCCTAGCATGTGCAGAGACCTAAGTTTGATACCCCAGCAGCACCGAAAAGTGGGGGATGAAGTGGAGAAAGTGAAGAGGAAGTAGATGAGGAAGAGAAGCAAGGAGAAAGTTAGGCATCATGGTGGGAGTGTGGAGTCTGGAAGTTGGCAGAAATGACTAAGAGGGTCTTTATTCACTATCTAGTGTGATCTGTAGATCCCACCAGCAAAGCTCTACAATATACCACTGCTGTGAGTGCTTGAGGAGGAAACCAAGCAGAAGAAGCTAGTTTCCACAATTAGGTCCTCAGGAGATAGAGAACTCAGCCAAAGTCAGGAATCAGACCAGGGATGACCAGGAAAACTGTCACTCAGGCAGTTTTGCATAAATCTGAGAGGGCATTGTATTTCCATCCTCCCACCCCGACCCCATGGGTCTCAAGCCAATCTTAGCATTCTCTATGAGGCAGGGTGAGCCTAGCTGAGTTCTGAGTTACAGAAAGATCAGATCAGTCACTCGCTGATTCAGCACTTGCATTGTCTTAGTTCTTTTCCTGAATTGATTTAACACAGTTTCCACAAAACTTGAGTTTATAGTGGTTTGGTTCCCGCCCCCTCTTGGACCAAGTTCTTGGCTTTATATCTAAATCCTCAGTGGTTGGCCTCCTGCCCTGTATTGGGTTGGGTGAGGTAGGGTCACCCTGGCAATGGGAAGAGGTGCCAGGAAGACCCACTGCCTTCATGTTGAAGACTTTAGGGAGCAGCTTTGTTTTATGGTCACCCAGTCAAACTGGTTTAGTTAGTGAGGATAGGATCTGAATTCTTATCTCTCCCAACCCTGAGGAATTTATAGCCAGAGGCCCAATGCTTCCAGGAGGACACCAAGGGATGAGGACATGTCATGAACATGAAGAAATGTTTGGATAATTCATCAGAAGCCATGCATAGATGCACTGTACAGATGCACTGCTGGGAACATATATAATTCTCTTTCTTTTAATTCAAGTCTAACAATTCCACCCTTCTTACCTGAGGCCGGCTCATGCTGAAACATAAAATAATCTTGCAGCCACACTGCTGGGCAGAGGCCTCTCATTGCTGACCTGACCATGGGCAGCACCTAGCCTAAGACACCACTTGGCACCCCCTCCATATGGGCTAAGAAATCCCTTTTGCTAGAGGTCCAGACAGATTCTACATCCTAGGGTTATTTAGGGAAAAGGGCATATTTACTCTTCTGGCTCCACATTATCACATCCAAAATCTTATTCTTCTACTCTTTCTTGTGGCTATTGTTGGCCAAAGTTATTGGTAGCCCCCACCTCCCTCTACCTCACTAGCCTTTCCTGTGGCTGCACCCTGAATGTGATCATAAACCCAGAACTATTTCAACTCTGCCACCTTGAAAACTCTAATATTTCACTAAAACCATCACCAGTTCATTTGCCAGTTCTCGCTTTTAAAGAAAACAAAAACAACTGTTTTTTGACCTCATTGGGAGTGCTAATCTATAGGTCCTTCTATTTGATCCTAATCCATTTCCCATCTGCCTTCATTGTCTCAACTACTTAGACCCTATGTGCCATCCACTAAGCTCCATTTTACTACATTTATTGGTCCATTCAAAGACGGAAACAGCTGAGAATATGCAAGTTTATCTACAAATGAAACACTAAAAACGATTGACTATGTTCTTTATTAAAAATAGTAATAAATCGGGTCGGTGGTGCATACCTGTAATCCCAGTGACTCAGGAGGCTGAGGCTAAAGGATCTCAAGTTCAAGGCCAACCTCAGCAACTTAGCCAAGTCCTAAGCAATTTAGCAAGGTCCAAAGCAACTTAGTGAGACCCTGTCTTAAAATAAAATATAAAAAAGGATAGCTCAGTGGTAAAAGCACTCCTGAGTTCAATCCCCAGTTACCAAAATATAAATAAATAAATACTAATAAAATAACATTATTACTAATGTTGACATTATCTAGATAATCTTAAGACTTTATACCAGGCTCTGGTAATATTTAATAATAATAAATCTGAACAAAACCCCATGAGATGCCTATAGGTAAATTCAGCTTCAATTGGCTACAGCCAAAATCACCTCTCATTTAAATTTTGAGCAGTATTGGGCCAGTGGAATTTAGAAGTTCCTATCCAGGAACAATTAAAAACTTCAATATCCAACAAATATTTCTCCTTTCAACAATGTCCTCATGCCTTGTCTTTTTGAAAAATCATCATAGTGTCTTCCAAGATTGTCTCCTTTTCAATTTAACTATGCAGTCACCCTTTATCACTTTTCTTCTTTTATCATAATGTAGAAACACATATTAATGTCAAACTATAAAAAAGTCCCTTATATCCAATATTCTCACCAAAATGTACCTTCAAATACTAACCTTCCAATCAACTCTGCAGGAAGCTTTGGCCATGAATACCTAGCCTTGCTCTTCAGATGGTAGTTACCGTTTCCTCTTCCTTCCCCACCGTGAGCCATGGTTCAGAGTTGAGATCCAGAATCTTGCAAGAAGATAACTATCAGGATTTGTATTCAGCAAGAGTTAAGAAAATGGTTGCTAAGAGACTGTAAAAAGGAATAGGAATGTAGGGCAAAAAATTTCCAGAGATAGGGGAAATGATGAGTCCCGAAGGGGATCAATAATAGAAGACAAAAATCTGAGCCTAATGCAGTATATTCAGCCCAGTTTCAGGCTAGGGATTGAGGGGTCACAGAAAGCAACTACTCAAAGGGGTACAGAGTGAGGGAGCACTGGGTAGAAGAGGTACACTGAGGCACAGGGAGAATGGGTGCCTTGGGCCCAGCCTCAGGAAATGGGGCTGCCTTTGTCAAGGTGTGAAGCAGGCCTCACTATTGGGTGGGGTCAAGGCTTTTCACTCTTACATACATATCACCTGGGATGTTAGCAATCTGGGCACTAGAAAGCTTGAGGGGGATTTGCTACTCCCTGTTGATGCTACCTCCACCTGCAGCCTTAAAAGCAGGTCCAACTAATTTGAGGATCTGAAACTATTGATCTGCCAGTCTCTCCTTGAAAGGGGTGGCATTCCTCAGGACAGGAGTAATGGTACATTGGGGTAAAGGCTAGGAGTACTTGATTCATTCATCAGTCATTTACTGAAAACCTTTGTGCTAAATGCAGAGGTGGGTGCTGAGGAAACAAAGATATATATGAGCAGGATAAAAATATTAACATATGCATATTAACAGCCTTCTCCTCCCCTTATATCAATACTCTCAGACTTTTCAAGGAGGCTTATCTGTGTACTCTGGAGCTCTGTTGTGATGATCAATAAAATGAGTGAAAAAGAATTTTGAAAGAAGTCAACAGAGACCATATAATAAAGAACTGACCAGAGTTGAGAAGACAGTGGGGACCAGAGATCTGGAGGAGATAGGAAGATGAGGAAAGGAGAGAAGATAAAGAGAAAAATTGAATGAGGCCAGAGTAGGGTGACAGAATATTGGAACAGGTGGGTTAACAAATGGACTTTGCAGACAGATCAGTGGGAAAGGCTATAACAGTACTAACTGTGTGTGTGTGTGTGTGTGTACATTGTCGTCCTGCCGGTCCTCTCCTGGAGACTTTGTGAACTTCTCTGCAGTGGATTATGCATTATTTTTGGAAACAATGACAAAACTGACCACAAGGTGGCCCATCATTTGGGGGATTACAAAGTAAGACATGATCCCTATGCTCCAGGTGCCCCAAATCACATAGGGCAAACAGACATTTAACATTAAATAAAAACATAAAATATTGCAATTGCTACGTCAGATGTCTGTTTAGGAGGTGGCAAATGAAGGAGAGGTCACTGAATTTACATCTAATTCATAGAACAGCCAGTGTTCTCTCCTCAGTGAGACTAGTTTACAATGGGGGTTTTCTGGCTCCCAAACTAATTACCAACAGCAATGTATACCTCAGCCCTACAGAGGAAGAGACAGAAAATCTAAATTCCCTCCTTGAACTGATCAAAATTTTCCCACCTCTAATTCCAATGTGGGTGTTAGGCAGCAGCCCACCTGGCTATTCCAGCCTCCTTTTCCTTTTGGACTGAGTTTCCCACGCAGGGCTTATTTGCTTTTCTACCCCAACATCACCCAAACAAAGGAAAATGTGTGTAGACTGAGGGTGTCAGTATAAGAGAACTCTGTACCAAATCATGTAGGCATGGAAAGGGAAACGGTGAATGCTAAATGAAGCCTGAAATTATATAAGTGAAACACAAAGTCGGCCCCAGAGCGTCTGCAAGATTATAGCTGAGGTTTGCATTGAGATTGCTACCCCCAGGCAAAGGGAGGACCTAGAGTTTCCAAGCAAGGCTGAAGCAATCACTTTGCTGGTCTGTGCCAGCCAAGTGACTCACTCCCAAACCTGTTTACTATGAAACAGCATTAGGAGACTGGATATAGCCTCAGGGAGATCAGCTGCTAACCAGCTCAGATTATAGCTGCAATCCCTCAAATGCAGCCACTTACAACAATTCTCCACATGTCTTCGGAAGCACACAGCACAGTGTACAGGAAAGGGACTGTCCTTGAAGTTTAAAGACCAAAGTCCTGGTTCCCAGGCTACAGTACTTTGTCGTGTGACTTGGGCCAGCTTCCTCTACAAAATGAGGCTGACATCCTGTCCATCAAATGGGACAGCACCTTTCCTGCCTACCTTCTGGGTAGCTTTGAGGATCAAGTGAGAAATATGAGAATTGAGAGAGGAAAATGGTCAAGAGCTATATGCCAGGTATTATATGACACACAGGTGTCATAAATCTCCTTGTGGACTCTCATTGGTACTAGAGGGAATTTCTTCAAATAGCAGGAATGAGAAATCAGCACAACAAGGCTTTTGTTTCATACTTAAATATCAACAACATTAAAGCACCAATTTAGCTGTTTACTGTGGACTTTTGTCATCCCAGGCAGTAGGTTGGAATGTTTTAAAAGGAAGACTAGAGCTCCCTCTTCAGTGTTATCTGGGGCTATCAATGAGACCATTTCTGTTATTTTCCAGTAAGTACTATAAAGGGCTCCCTGTTTGAGAAGTATATACAACTATTTCTCCCATCTGCAATTACATGGGCAAAAAAAATGAACAAAAAGATCTTTTCTTTTCTGTTTTCTTTCTTTCTTTTTCTTCTTTTAGATACTGGCCTCAAGTACAAAATTTAGTGAAACACACACACACACACACACACACACCCACCCCTCCAAGACCAAGATAAGTAACATTTTAATGCAATATTTAAAAAAAAATAATGCCAAAAAACTCATGATGAGCAAAATATCAAAATTTTAAATAAAAATTAGTGACAGTACCATACTAAGACACACTGATGCCCGGGGCAAAGGGGAAAATCAGTAATATTGATCCTGTCTTTATTTAAAACATTGGTGTCCTGTTCATTGTGGATTTTTGCATTAATTTTGATATATCCAAAGTAGCGATTTTAATCCTTCTTAATGGCAAGCGAAATTATTGCTTTCCTTAGTAGCATTAGCCTCTTAGATTTGGTTAAGTGCTTTCCATGCGATGAGGGAGACAAGCATGGCTCCCCACAGTCAAAGGCCAACTTTGCTTCCTCTGCAGTGTCTCCTTCGGGTGGGTGCATATTCAATGAAGGTCACCTTCTTGGCTTCCAAATGAAAACTCTTGAGTCCCACAGCTTTTCTGTTCACTATTAAATAAGGGAAAAGTCTCACAGTCGTTTTAAAGCAGTCTCAGTTCAGCAATTAGCAGGCAAAATCCTTTCGAAATCATCCAACTTTGCAACTTCACTTAGTGATGATTCTCCCCTGAGCCAGCTCAGGCCTGGAAGCCTCAAGTAGGAAATGGAGGTAAAGCCTCCTGCTCTCTGTTCTCCCCCACTGTCCTCCTCTTCAATTCACTACCCACTGTTTTGTTCTCTACCAAAATGGAAGATGGTTGGCAGGGCGGAAGGGAAGGGGACAGACCATTTCTTACCCTGCCTGGTAGCTTCACTTTCCCTGGCCAGGAGGATAGCTAACAGGGTCACTTCTCTGTGGACATATCCATTGGCTTATCAGAGCTTCCCTACAGGAACTCTCCCCTCAGATGCTTGTCCCATCTGAGTGGTGAGTATGTATCTGCTTATCATATAATTAACTATACTTTTCTACATGCTATATATATTCTAAAAGTTCCTAATTAAAAAAAAATTGTGAGAAAATAAAGTGGAAGAATCTCAACTCCACACAAAAACAACCTTTGTCCCCTCCTCTCTCTCTCTTTACTACCAACCATTTCTCCTCTCCTGGCCTTAGTTTTTATCTCCTCCCTATACCTATAAAGATAAATGTTTGTCTAGATTGATATATACTTCCTTGCCCAGTCACATGCTGGTTTATTTCTTACACCTTCTGAATAAGCAGAGCAGTCCTCTTCTGGTTTCTAATTTCTTTGAGAATAAATGTCCCTGGCCAGAGTCCAGTCCACTCCCAGGCCCCTGGGACTTTGTCAAGGGAACTGGAACATCTCTGCCCTTGACCTCTAGGGTAGAAATCCACAAGAGTCCCACAATAAGCAAAGCACTATGAAGCCAGCAGCATTGCTAAAGGCAGAAAACACAGCTCTTTCTCACCACCAAGAGTTCCACTGTTCTGCCTGTTTCCAGGCATGGAAATGAAGGGAGAAGAATGTTACAGAAGCTCAATAGTTGTCCCCATTTGAATAAAATAATCGCCTTCATTGTTTAGCTTCATAGTACCAATAATATATTGCTTATATACTTGAATGTTTCTCTTTCACAGCAAAGTCTTCAATTTCAGCATTAAATGTGGGTTTCCATTTTGCCTTCTAGGATCTATGGAAGTTGGAACTAGAAAACAAATGTTCTCACCTTCCAAATGATCTGCCTGGATTCAGAGTGTTTGAAACAAACACTTTTCTGACATGACAAGCTTCAGGATCTTAAGGAGGAGAGGACAACTAGCAAGGAATGGATCTTGCAAATAAACCAACAAACACAGAGGGAAATGGGTGCAGAGTCCAAGCCCTCTGTAACTAGGGCAGGTTTTCATGGAAATGACTGGGCCTGGGAAGGCAAAGCATTAAGGGGGGAAGGAAGAGAAGCACAGAGGGCACAGGAGGAGACATCAAGGTCTGTACCCACCCCTGCCCCTCAACCCCCAGTCCCCTAAAGCCTGCCCCTGGGATAATGGTAGTGGGTGAAACTAATCAAAAATTAAAACATGGAACAAATGCAGGATCTCAGAGAACAGAAATGAGATTCTATTAAGCCAAGAACTCAGATGAAAAAATAAAATTGCATCTTTATTTTTACTAACCTGGTAACTGAAAAAATCTAGCATTTCCTCCATTTATTAATGTGGGCAATAAACCACAGCCATGTGAGTAGTATTGATGACTGTCACCAATAGAATTCACACTTGCAGTGAATTTTATGGTGTTGCAAATGTCTTGAAATATTTTTGTTCATTACTTTGAAATTATGGTAGTAATTAAATATATCACTAGATCTTGATTAATCTGTTAATAAAGAAACATAAATACACTACACATTTGTTTTAATATTTTGATAACTATTTCAATAATTGGTTTCCTTTGTGATCCAATGCATTTTAGAAAATAGATTTTAGAACATTACTTTAAAAAGGGATCCACAGACTTCACCAGACTGTCAAAGAGGTATGTGGGAGGTGAGGTTATATGTCTGTAATCCCAGCAGCCTAGGAGGCTGAAGCAGGAGGATCATGAATTCAAAGCTAGCCTCAGCAAATTAGCGAGGCCCTCAGAAATTTAGTGAAACCTTGTCTCTAAATGAAATACAAAAAAGGGCTGGAGATGTGTCTCAGTAGTTAAGTGCCCCTGGGTTCAATCCCTGGTACCAAAAAAAAAAAAAAAAAAAAAAACCTCTGTTAGGAAATTGTAGATTGGTTGGGAGTGTAGGGGTGCAGCAGAGTCTCATCAACCCAAATCCCAAAATATCATAAAAGAGATTTAGAGAAAGAGGCAAAAATATAACTTTAGGTATGCCTAGAGACTATGCAATCACTAGGTAATGAAGTGAGTTAAATTCCAGCTGAAAAGATTGAAGATTTTCTAACTGTATAAGAAGAGACCTAGTTTGTCAAAGGATTCAGAAGGAATAATTCTGGAAGGTGAACCTGGATCCAGTATTCAATCCCTTAACCTCTAGCAGATTATCTACATCTGTAAATATATAGTACTTTGACAACTTCTCCAAGTAATTGATGTTAATTCAGATGCGTATGTGTCCTTTCAACCCATGGAAGGAACTCAGAAATAAAAATAATAGAAACCTTTAGCTGGGTGTGGTGGTACATGCCTATAATCCCAAAGACTCAGGAAGCTGAGGCAGAAGGATCCCACATTTGAGGCCAGACTGGGCAACTTAGAGAGACCTTGTCTGGAAATTTTTTTTAAAAAGTAAAGATATCCTGTGTTCAATCCCCAGTACCAAAAAAAAAAAAAAAAGAAAGAAAGTTTTGTAACCAACTTTTTAAATTATTAAATTAACTAACAATCCAAATTATTAAATTAACTAACAATCTTCATTCCTTCTGTAAAACCTATCAACTGGCCCCAGTAAGTACAATGACTGAGTACTTACAGTCACTGGACTTCTCTAGTACATGGGCACTTTTCAAAACTCAATAATTAAAAACAAAACTCCCCCAATATTAACACCTACTAGGTAGCTATCCCTCTGATCATACCAGACACGACTTAAGACAGTGTTATATGAGCAGAGGGATCCAAATAGATCAATGGAACAGAATAAAGAACCCAGAAATAGAGCCATACAAATGTGCCCAACTGGTTTTTTAAAATAGAGTTGATTTTTTTTTAGATTTTGATTTATAGAAAAATTAAGGGGTAGGGGATGTAGCTCAGTGGAAGAATGTTTGTGTGGCATGTGTGAGGACCTAGGTTTCATACCCATCACTATTTTAAAAAAAGAAGAAGAAGAAGAAGAAAAAAAAATTAAACAGATACTAGAGTTCCCACATACTTTGCACCCAGTTTATTATCAACATCTTACATTAATATCGTACATTTGTTATAATTAAAGAACTAATACTGAAATATAATTATTAACTAATGTACATAGTATATTTCTTCAGTTGTTCTGTCTCTTTAGGCTGGTGTTGGTTCCTTACTTAGAATTTCCTTGGTTTGGAGGCGTTTTTGAGTTTATTTGTCTTTGTTTTGTTTTTATTTACCTTGACAACTTTCAGGAGTATCAATCATAATTTTGTAGGATTCCCCATTACACACATTTATTTGTCTATTGTTTTTCTCATGAGGAAACCTGGGTTATGGGTTATTGGGAGGAAGATGACAGCTGAAAGGTACCATTTTTTTTTAAGAGAGAGTGTGTGTGAGAGAGAGAGAGGGGGAGAGAGAGAGAGAGAATTTTTAATATTTATTTTTTAGTTTTTGGCGGACACAACATCTTTGTTTATATGGGGTGCTGAGGATCCAACCCAGGCCGCACGCATGCCAGGCAAGCGCACTACCGCTTGAGCCACATTCCCAGCCCCAGTAAGGTACCATTTTTATCTCATCAAATCAAGAGTGCATACTATCAACATAATTTCTGACTGTAGGTGTTAACTCTGATCACCAGGCAGAGGTAGTGTTTGTCACTTCTCGACATTGAAAAGCTGCTTCTCTGCCCTTTCCAGACTTTTCTCTTTGGAAGAAAGTCAGTATGGGCAGCCCACACCTATGGATGGGGAGTTATCTCCCTCATTAAAGGAGAGGTATCTGTGTAAATTATTTGTAATTCTTCTTCATGACAGATTTATCTATCTTCTGTCATATACTCATATAGTTAGTATTCAATTCTTTCTTTTTTCTTTTCTTTTTTTCTGGACAGGGTCTCACCATTTTTCCCAACTGGCCTTTAACTCCTGGGCTCAAGCAATCCTATTGCTCCATCTTCCAGATAGCTGGAACTATAGGTGTGCACCACCATACCTGTAAATTCAATCTTTTTGTCTCATCATGGATTCATTGGTATTGAGCAAAATGCCAAAAAACAGAAAACAAAATTTAAAAAAAAATTAAGCTTAGAGTAGACAATAGAAGAAATTAGTTCTGGTCACCTATAGCACTACAAGGTAACAATTGTTTACAACAATCTATGATACATTTCAAAATAAGAAGAGTACAAAAGTTCTCCATGTGTAGAAATAATAATTGTTTGAAGATCAAAGCGCTTATATCCATGATATGGTCATTGCACATTGTAAACATTTATTGAATTCTCATACTGTACCCCTTAAAGATGTACAAATATTATGTCAATCAATCAACAAATAAAATTTGGGGGCCAAAGGAGTAACTCAGGGGCAGAGTGCTTGCCTTGCATGCATGGGGCCCTGAGTTCTCCAGCAATGAAAAAAAAAAAATCCATCTACATGCATGCTGCTTTCCAGTGGGTTAAAGTTTTTGCTCCATTTTAACATATTCCAAAGTGGACATTGTAGAGAACATACCATGAGAATGGTTTATACTACAAAGATATCTTGTGATTCTAATGAACAGATTCACTCTGAAAGAAAAGGTACGTATGGCAAATGAACATACATTTATATGTCCTAACCCTTTTAAAAATGTTAAACTATGTATGAAGTATTATTTATGATTCTCCACTTTAGCTGAGTTTTTCTGTAAGACAAACTTAAGCAGATACTGAGCAAGAGTGAAGAAGTGACTCAAACCTTAAATTCAATACTTTTTATGTTGAGTTCAAAAATAAGTTATTTTTTAATCCTCTTGGCAATTTGGGTAGGTTTTCTTTGACAGATGGGATATTTGAAATGTTGGATTCAGACTTGTGATTTTAACTTCAAATGTTTAAATGAACTTAATTGATGATAAATTGGCGATTTAAATTTGAGATGTGTAAAATCTGAGATGGATTGATTATGTTTATAGACTGCATTTGAATTTTTCAGAGATTTTGAGGTACTAAATCTATAACTTTTGAGTTGTTAGGTTTGTAAATGGAGTTTATGCACTTAGGAATATAGGTTTATTAGATTTGTAAGCTTGCTTGTGGAATATCTGAAGTGCTTTTGAGGATAAGAAACATTACATTTGTAGTGACAGTTTGAAGAGTTTCATCAAATTAATACATAAATGTTTATAGAATTTATCATATTGACAAGCTAATTTTAAATTTGACTACTCTATAGATATCATTACAAGATTTAAATTTAAGCTTAATTTATACATTTGATACATTTCAAAATAAGAAGAGTACAAAAGTTCTCCATTTTATTAGCTTAAAAGCCTAATAAAAGTAGACAGCTTAAATAAATTTGACATTAATTAAACAAAAATAATTCTAAATGTTTTTGTTTAATTTAAATAAAACATTTTAAAAAATGATTAAATGATGGTAGGTCAAATTCTCTCAATCCAGGTTTTCACACATACAAAAATCTTGACTTTCAAAGACAATCTAGCACTTTAAATAGAGAGTTGCTGTATAATTACTGTTAGATATATATAACCAGTAGGAATGAAAACGTATATCCATACAAAGAAAGGACATGAATCTTCAGAGCAGGCTTATTTGTAATAGTCCCAAACTGGAAGCAACCTAAATGTTCATTAGCAGGAGAATGTATACACAAATTGCAGTATAACCACCCAGTAGAATGTTATTTTGGTGCTGGGCCACAAAGAGAGATGGTAATGACCTGAACTGAAACTGCAATAATAGAGCCAGAGAAGAGAGAACACATTTGAGAGACAATTTTAAAGAAAAGTCAGCAAAACTTTGAGATTTATTGCATAATAGAGACGAGGGAACAGGAAGAATTTCTGGCTTAAATACTGAATGGAAAACAGTATGAAGGTTCCTCAAAAAACTAAAAATAGAACTACCATATGATCCAGTAATCCCACTACTGGGTATGTATCCAAAGGAAATGAAATCAGTATGTTGGAGAGACATCTTTGCTCCCATGTGGATCACAGTACTATTCACAATAGTGGAGAAACTATTTGTTAGGAACAAATCTAAGCGTCCATCAACTGATAAGTGGATAGAGAAAATATAATATGTGAAATGTACATGCACATACACACACACAGTGGAACACCATTCAGTCATAAAAAGGGTGAAATCCTGTCATTTGTGACAACATGGATAGAATCAAAAGACATTATGTTAAATAAAATAAGCCAGACATGGAAAGACGAATCCCACATAATCTCACTCAGTATGTGGAATCTAAAAAAGTTAATATCCTGTATCAGAAGTCTAATAATGGTTACCAGAGGCTGGGAAGAGTGGGGGCAAGGGAGATGGGGAAAAGTTTGTCAATGGGTGATAAGTTACAGTTAGATAGGAGAAATAAAATAGGATGACTATAAATAATGGTAAAATACTGTGTATTTCAAAGAAATTGGAAGAAGCTGGGTGTGGTAGTGCATGCCTGTAATCCCAGTTACTCAGAAGGCCGAGGCAGGAGGATTGCAAGTTCAAGGACAGCCTCAGCAACTTAGTGA